TAGAAAACAGCTCAAATACAGTCTCCAGGCTCAAGCAATTCGTAGGCGTGCTGTGTGCAAGTATTCCCATCCTCAGTCTCTAAGATTACCCCACTTTCGCGGCTTCACTATCAGTAGTGATGGAGCTGCGGCCCTCATAAGTGGCAGTTGTGACGCCTCTCCAGTTGTCCCGCCCACAAAGCCTATTTTCCGCCACAGGTTCAGTTTTTTCAGCAGGTTTTCCGTTTTTTTCATTCTTAGATGGTATTGGCACGACGCGAAGGAAACGACTAGTGAGCCAGAGGGCGTAAGGATATCGCTTTGTTGACCCAAAACGAGCAGGTCCGGAGAACCGTCCAGAGAGACTCCCAGACCTTCAGTCGCATTTATCTGCTTCTTTCTTCGCTAGACGGTCATTCACCTAAATACCTCTGTAACTGAACACGACTTCGCAATATTCAGTCGCGGGGTTTCTGTAATAAAGAATAGAATCACCTTCTGCCATTTCAGACACATGTCCGAATGCTTGAACAGCTGTCGTGGGGTCATCAAGCTCGTCTTTCGACTTTGAGGCAGACCATACTTCACCCCAACTCCTACACGTGGAAGCTGATAGACGACGTTTCGCACAGTCTCTTGATCGGCGAAGGCGAACATGACGGCAGCTGAAGAAAGAAAGGCAAATCACTCCCTTACAATATTCATTTCCGTGACTTACTTCTTGTGGCAAGGAACAGTTCCAGGGCAATATTTTGCAAAAGGTGTCGACGTAAGAATACTGCACGAATCTCTTGCAAATTCCATCTTCCGTGCAATGATTCACAGTACCGTAAGACCTGGAATTGCGCGCAATTCTAGTTTTCCCGTGAGAGTTCACAACTTTGACTGGGAATAAGGTTATTCGGTTGAATGACAACTCAAATCAGTATCATTTCAGATCGCAACGAATCCGCTCATTGTCACACCACTCACAATTTCCCCTCGCATCAAAATGTGGCAAGTGCGCGACCGATTCAATCACACCTGACTGAACACATATCAAAGTCGTCAGCGATCCGAGAACAAAGAAGTTTCCGACGTTCCAATCGGTAACTATCACGTCAATATTGTCAGAAAGGAGAAATATTTTTGGGAGTAGCTTCGAAAACTTGTAAGCGAGATCTGCAGTTACTAGTACATTAACTCTCGAAATCTACTCAAATAACAACCCCTCCAATCAACACCGTTGCCAGACCCGCGTACTCCCGATCACGGGCTCACCTGGCGATGTTACAACAATAATGAGATAACGAGAGTGCTCCACAGCGATTCTCGTCTATCATCAAGGGCAGGTGATAGCCGTGAGCTAATAGATTTGGAAAGGTATTGTGACAAGACAGTGTCGATCTGTGGGCTTAGTCGTGACAGCCGAGATTCAGGGAAGACGGGCAAGAGAATCGTAAATTGCCGCTTCGTCACACGCGGCAGTGATCGCGACGTTTCCTTAATTTGCACTACTGCCGAATTCGACATCATGGCAGGGAAGGCATCAGATTTCATGTAGCATGGGCCAGCTATGGCTAGACGGCCTACGTTTATGTTTTGATAGGCATACATTGTCTGTCTCAAACTACAACACCTTGAAATCCAGTTCGCATTAGCGGCGCGACGTCGACACGCGACTCCCCACCGGTGCCGCATAACTACGATTCTCGTTGCCACACGCGCCCCCGAGACTCAGTTCCGGTGCTGTAACCGGAACAGTATTGAGCAGTAACAGACGCACGCTGATTGCCTAGGACATGGAACGAATCATCATGGCAACTGAAGCCTTCAGACCTCTTAAAGGCGCCCATTCACTGCGTAACACAGTAGAAGGGGCCAAACAGTGTACGAGTAGAAAAAAGTATTGAGCATAGCAAGTCTTTTCTGTGCATTTATTCTCGTCGCCTGAGCTGTCGAGTCGACTAAGTTAAAGAGGCAATCGAATATAGAAAGCGCAGCCTCCCGATCCCGATGGGAATAAAAAAGGATAAAGTCTTCGCCGTTGATCAATCCCTTTGTGGGATGCGGCACGCATTCTACTTCCAGAATCGTAGTGGCTTATTGAATGCGATGTGGCCTATACAATGACTTGCGGGGCCAGCCGATGTACAAGTCAGTGTTCTTATCCTCCCAGACGGATCTGGTACTAATTTACCGTCCCGAAGGGTAGAAGGCTTGTTGGGGGACGTTTTCGGGAAATACCAGCCCCTCTTTACCTACTGTCCTGACACCTTCTCCAACCAGCTTCCTACTACATTTTTCGAAATTTCCCAAGATTTTTTTAAATTTCTTTTCCAGTTTCCAAAATTCTACTACCGAGCGAGGAGGGGGAGGCATGTAGCACCAGCGGAACGGGAAAAACCGCGAAAAGTCCGCAAACGATTTGTCTCAGAATCAGGCATGACCCCACACTTATTAGAAGTCCGCTAACGAATCCACTCTGCAAAGCTCGCTGAACATTCAGGGATTGGCGCTGAAGCTGAACAAAGCGAACTCCTTCATAAACTCATTCACGTTTGAATTCACGAACCTGAGCGCATTTCCGCTCCTGAATGCTCATCTTGCTCCGGGGCTGCGCATAATACAATAAAGTAAAAACACTAGAAGTTGTACTAGAGAAAAAATACTAACAAGGAAATTAGATGGCATCGCAAAATATGAAACGTGAACTCATTTAAACTTCAATTTGCTTTCGCTGATGGCGTACACACCTCGAGAAGCAGATCAAAAATGAATTTCTTGTCAAGCCATGGGTGAGCCTTTTTTGTAGTTTCGCTCTGCTTTTTTCATCATCGCTATACTGATAAATACCCCCAGCTTCACTGTTAGGGGAGAGAGAGC